GGCACGGAGGAGGGCTCCGCGGTCGGCACGTTCGTCGGCTGATTCGAAGGCGCGTTCGTCGGCTGATTCGAGGGTTGTGGGGTCGGCACGTTCGTCGGCGCGCCCGTGGGCTCGCTCGAGACGGTCGGCGCGGCCGTCGGGACGGACGTCGGCGTGTACCTGTCGCGACGGCTTTTCGCGGCGCGCGGCGACGCGAGACGCGGGCGGCGCGCGTCGGCGTCGACGACGGAGCATAGGTCGGCGACGACGTCGGACAGGACGTGGGCACCGACGTGGGCACGGCCGACGGCGTCGCCGACGGCTGATTCGTCGGCGCCGACGACGGATCGGACGTCGGGTTCGACGTCGGCGATGCCGTCGGACGGCTCGAGCCCGTCGGCAGGCCAGACGGCTGCGACGTCGGCGACGACGTAGGCGCGGTCGTCGGCGTCGTCGAGGGAGAAGAACTCGGAACGGAGCTGGGAACGGAGGTGGGAACGTCGCTCGGCGGCGTCGTCGGAGCGTTCGTAGGACTCGATGACGGCCGGCCCGTCGGATCTGCGGTCGGCACAGCCGTGGGATAATACGTCGGCGTGAACGTGCTAGGCCGAGGCGTCGACGTGGGCACGTAGGTCGGCGACGAGGTGGGCACCGCGGTTGGACACGCGGTTGGACAGGCCGTGGGTGCCGGCGTCGGCGTCGGGCCGCCGAGCCGCAGCAGCGCTGCGAAGAAGACCCACCGCCGCATCAAGCGCACGTGACGACGCCACGGCGGGAGCCCCTACGGCGCGCGAACCGGGATAGCCTCAGGCTGGGTTTGGTCCATCGTTTTCCAGGAGGCTTCAACAAAACTCGCATACCTCAACGTGAAGAAGTGAACACGGGGGAAATGATGTTAGCGCATCAGCTCAAAGAGCCTACGCCGAGAGCGCCGCGGCGTTCATGCGCCAGTCGCTGCCGCCCTTGAGGGCCGCGGCGCCGTAGTCGGCCTTCGCGTCGCCGGTGAGCGGCGCGAGGAGCAGGTCGACGTTGTAGATGCCGTTGCCCGCCGCGGCCTTGAGGGCCATGGCCGCCGAGAGGACCTCGGCGAGGCGGCCCGCGGGGACGTGGTACGCGGCGTAGGCGACGAGGAACGCCTCGGCCTCGTCGTGGTAGGGCGCGTCGTTCGACCCGAGCGCGCAGAGCCTGTTCTCGAGGCCCGCGGGCTCGAGGTAGGGCGCGTCGACGCCGCAGCTCTCGAGGGCGAAGAGGGCCTCGAGGGCCGCGGACGCGTTCGCGAGGGCCGCGCGCTGGTACGCGTTGTTCGGCGCGCTGAGCAGGTAGAGCGCCGCGTTCGTCGCGGGCGCCTCCGGACGCTCGACCGCGCGGACCGCGGGGGCCGCGTCGACGGCTTCGGCGGCGCCGTTCATGGCCTCGTTGAACTGCCAGCGGCGGCCCGCGTAGAGCGACCGGCCGACGTAGTCGCCGGGCCCGCAGGCCGGGTCGCGGCCGCTCGACGGCCCGCGCGGCGCGACGACGACGTCGACGTGCGCGGCGAAGTCCGCGTGGCTCGCGCGGACGCCGAGGACCCAGGGCAGCACGGCGCCGAGCGTCGCGGGCCCGCCGACGAGCTTGACGTTCGTGTGCGCGGCGAGGAACGGCGACGTCGGGTCCGCGTAGGCGTCGAGCTGGGGGGACGCGACGAGCACCGCGCCGGACGCGACCTCCGCGGCGAAGGTCTCCTTGAGGGTCTCGACCATGTCCGCGGCCAAGGACCGGCCGGGCGTGCCCGGCGTCGGGTCGTAGACGAAGTGGATCTCGAAGCCGGCGTAGCCCGCGGTGCCGTTCGCCGACGGCACGGCGCTGCACTCCTCGGGCTCGGGAATGTTCGCCGCCGCCCAGCCCGCCGAGTCGCCGTCGTTCGGCGGCGCCGTCGTCTCGTCCTCCCAGCCGCCCTCGTCGGCCGTGCCGAAGCGGTTCGCGACCGTGTACTTGGTGGCCTACCGAGCATATCGGTAACGATTTCTCTTGGTTTTCCCAGTCAAAATCTCTCGAAAATCGCCGCAGGACGCCGTTCGTCGCGTGCAAACCCCAGTCGACGTGGTCCGCGTAGGAGCAGCCCGTGTTCGGGTGCACGAGGAAGTCGACGTCGGCGGGCTTGTTCGACAAGACGTACTGGAGCACGTCCGCCAGGTCCTCGCGCACGACGAAGAGGGAGAACGTCGAGAAGTCGAAGGACGACGTGCCGTGGTCCTGCGTCCACCTACCAAGTGCGTCGGTGACGATTATTCGTCGTTTCCCCGGTCAAAAGCTCTCGAAAATCGTCACGGCCGCAGGACGCTGGCGTCCACTGCGGCGGCGCGGGCATCGGGCCCGACTCGCCGGGCCCGACGAGCCAGCACGTGATGTTGTGGGGCTCCTCGTGGCCGTTGTTGTCCGGGCACGTGAGCGCGTCTAGTTCGAGCTCCGTCGTCGCCGCGTCGGTGAACGCGTTCACCTTGTCCAAACTCGCGTTCGCGTTGGGCACGTAGTAGAAGTGGAAGTGCATGGACGCGACCTGGGCGTCGCCCGTGCAGCCCGTGTTGTTCACGTAGGGCGCGTAGCACGTCGCGTCGTAGGAGCAGCTCGTCGCCCACGCGTCGTCTTCGCAGCCGCCGTAGCCGCACGTCTCGTCGCACCAGCCCTCGTACTTTTGGCCCGGCGCGTAGTTCTCGGCGCAGGACAGGTTCATCGTGTGGACGAGGTAGTCGCAGGTGTGGGCGCAGCCCGAGTCCGCGGCGTCGCACGCGTTGCCGCACGTCGTGTTGTGCGTCTCCGGCGCGGCGACGGCGGGCGCCGCGCGCGCCGCGGCGACGCCCGCCGCGGGGAAGCGGTTCGTGTTCTTGGACGTCGGGAACCCGGCGTAGACCGCGAGCTCCGACGGCGCCTTGCCCGCGGGCCAGTCGCCCTCGCCGAGGTCCGGCGCCGCGAGGACGTCGAGGTCGTAGCCGCCGCCGTTGACCGTCTTCGACCGCTGGAGCTGGAGCCAGACGATGACGTCGCTAAAGTACTTGTGCGGCACGTGCACGTCGAGGTCCGCCGCGAGGTAGATGTCGCCGGGCTTGCCGTTCGGTGTTACTTCGCAGGGCGAGATGGCGAAGCGCGCGCAGAGGTTCGCCTTCACGGCGTCCTTCGCCGCGACGGAGAATGGGTTGTTTCTTTTGTAGATAACAGCAATGTTCCAGGCCCACGGCGACTCGGCCCCGCGCAGGGCGAGGGCCGGCGCCGCGAGCAGCCCGAGCAGCAGAAGGGCTGCCATTGGACGATCGGCGCTCCGAAACGCTTCACGTTGACATTGTGAACCAGAGCGACGCGATGGCTCGCGCATAACACCTCGGTTTGTATTGTGAACCAGAGCGACGCGATGGCTCGCGCATAACAGCTCGGTTTGCAACAAACATGGACGCGCTCCGGTCCTCTCTGCGTAGCGTGCCCGTGCCGGCGCCGCCGTCGCGTCGTGCGCTCTCGGACGCCGGCCTCTTCGCGCCCGGGGCGCACCTCGTCGCGGCGGCGGTCGGGCAGGCGGTCGCGTTCAACGCGCTCGACACGCTGCGCGTGCGCTGGCAGGTCGCGCCGCTGAGCACGCCGGGCGGCATCGCCGCGTTCGCGCTGCGCGTCGTGCGCCGCGAGGGCCTCTGGGCGGGCCTCTGGCGGCCCGGCCTCGGCGCGAGCGCGGGCGGCGCGCTGGCCGCCTCGGCGGCCGCCGCGCTCTGGCTGCCGAGCGCGCGCGCAGCGCTCGCGGCCGAGGACGGCGACGGCGCCGGCTGGGCGTCGCTGCGGGCGGGCCTCGCGTGCGCCGCCGCCGCGTCCTTCGCGGCCGCGCCGCTGGCGCTGATGAAGACGCGCGCGCAGGCCGCCGCGGCGGTCGGCCCCGGCCCGCTCGCGTACCGGCGCGACCTCGGGGCGACGACGGTCGTCGGCTGGTGGCGCGGCGCGTCCGCCTCGGCGCTCCGGAGCGCCGGCGTCGGCACCGGCCGCGTCCTCGGCTACGGCGCGTCGCGGCGGTTCCTCGAGGGCCAAGGGCTCCGCGACGGCGCGCTCCGCGTCGGCACGGCGGGCGGCGCGGCCTTCTGGGCGGCGACCCTCGGCGCGCCCTTCGACGTCCTCGCGACGCGCTTCATGGCCCTGCGACCGGGCCAGACCGCCGAGGACGTCGCGGAGCTCATGCGCGCCGGCGAGAGCCTCACGAAGGTCGCCGCGGACGTGCACCGCGACCTCGGCGCGCGCGCGTTCCTGCGGGGCTGGGCGCCCCAGTTCGCGAGGCTCTTCGGCTACTTTTTGGCCTGCGGCGTCGCGCACGACGCCCTCCGCGACGCCGCGCTCGCGCCTAACGACGGGCCCCGGTAGCCCCACTCCAGGTGGAATATTCTGTCCCGGGCACCTTTGCAAGCATGGGCAAGCTTGAGATCAATGAGATGCTCGCCGGGCTTTCCCAAACACTACTTGACGCTAATGATGCACTAATGTTGCAGTCCACATTCCGGATCCGATGGCGCAGGAATTCTCGACTCGAGCGTCTGGCATGAGCTGCAAGGGCGACTGAAGCGGCCGCGACCGCGCGAAGGACGCCGCGCGCGAGCGCGCCTGGTCGGCGCTCGAAGCGTCGGGCGCCGCGCGCGACGCCGGCGGTCCGCGCGGGCGCATTCCCGATTTCGCCGGCGCGGAGGCGGCTGCGGCGCGGCTCGCGGCGACGGATGAGTGGCGGCGCGCGGCCGTCGTCAAGTGCAACCCCGACCCGCCGCAGGCGCCCGTGCGGCGGCGCGCGCTCGAGGACGGCAAGACGCTTTACGTGCCCGTCCCCTGCCTCACGGCGGACACGCCTTTCCTGAAGCTGGCGCCGGCGGCGCTCGCGGCCGCGGGCGTGCCCTTCGCGGACGCCTCGGACGCCGCCGGCGCCGCGAGGCACGGCGAGCCCGTGCGCTTCGACGAGATGGAGCCCTTCGGCATCGCGGTCTGCGGCACGGTCGCGGCGGCGCGCGATGGCGGGCGCCTCGGCAAGGGCGGTGGGTTCGCGGACCTGGAGATGGGCGTATTCCGACACTTTGGGTGGATGACGGCGGCGACGCCCGTCGCGACGTCGGTGCACGAGGCCCAGGTCGTCGACGCGCTCGACGTCGCGCTCGACGCGTGGGACGTCCCGCTGGACCTCGTCGCGACGCCGGGCGGGCTCGTACGCACGGGGACGGCGCTCCCGAAACCGCGCTGCACCGTCGCCTGGGACGCCGTGCGCGCGGACCAGCTCCGGGACATCCCGTTCCTCGCGGCGCTCCGGACGCAGATGGAGGAGGGTAAGCCGCGGTAAATGAGATCGCGCCGGCGAGCTTTCATGTTCGTCAGGCGCGAAGCTACAGTGGTCGGCTTCGAGTCTCATCCGGGCTTTAACCCGCGGACCGGCGTCCGCGGCCGAGTCCTCGCCCAGTCGTCCTTGAAGTCAAGTTGAGATTATTGAAGCGGGCGCATCGTGAAGCCTCGGAAAATGGTGCGTCTCGGACAAAAGATCGCTACTCTGGTTTTCATAGCTTGACTATTTTCTATATCCGGATATGGCGCATCGTGATGGGCTAGCTTGAGATGCTCGCATTCCAGTGGTTGCTCGGCCTCGCCTGCGCCACCGCTGTCTCAAAGAAGAAAATCGGCTGGGCGATCAACACCCGCGACGAAGCTTTGCCGCAGACGAAGCAGCTGTTCACGCGGCATTCCTGGGCAGCCGCGGCGCTGCGGCGCGACGCGACCTCGGGCATGCTCGTGTTCTCGGACACGGTGCACGAGGACTGGGAGAACGGCGTGCTCGTGCGTCCCTGCTGCGGCGGCGCGGACCTCGGTCGAAATCTGGCTACCGCGCAGCAAAAACGAGAGAGAACGTGGCGCGCGATGCTCGAGCTCCTCCCGGAGGACACCTGGTTCTTCGTGAGCACGGAGGAAGACACGCGATATGGCTGCGTACGCGCCGCGCGCGCAAAGACGACCCGATGCCCAGTAGGTGGTGGAACGTCACCGCGCTCGAGGACGTGCTCGGCGGCCGGCTCGGACCCGAGGCGCGGCTCCGGCCGATGCGGCGCGACCTCCAGTGCAAGGTGCACAAGGCGCCGGCGGACGTCATGCGGCCGCTGCTCGTCGGCGGCGGCCGCTGCAAGGCCGTCGTCGGCCCCTTCGTCGTCATGAACCGCCCGCTGCTGTCGCTCTTCGCGAACGAGTCTCTCCTGCAGAGGTGCCGCGAGAGCTACCTCCGGACGAACGCGACCGCGAGCGACGAGAGCTTCGTCTACGCCGGCGCGGCGTACAACAACGACCACCTCATCTCCTACTGCGCCTTCTCCTTCTTTCCGAGGACCTGGTCCAGCTACCGGCCGTACAACCCGCTGCTCGCGCGGCTCTCGGTGTCGCCCAAGTTCGCCTACAGCATGTACATGCCCGATTTTCACGCGCGGATAGCGCAGCCCCGGCGTCCGACGATCGGCAAAAAAAAACACCATCGTTCGTCGTAGGAGCGGCCCATCCTCTTCCACTACAACGCGGCGCGCGCGTCCGCGGAGGACGAGCTGGAGCGGCTCCTCCGCGGCCAGGGCGGACGCTGGCGGATCCGCGTCGGGCGCGGCGGGCGGGAGCCCGTCGTCGCGTTCCACCACGCGACCCCGGCGGATCGCGCCTACTTCGATAACGGGACCTAGTCGCCCGTCGTCGCGTTCCACCGCGCGACCCCGGCGGATCGCGCCTACTTCGATAACGGGACCTAGTCGCCCGTCGTCGCGTTCCACCACGCGACCCCGGCGGATCGCGCCTACTTCGATAACGGGACCTAGTCGCCCGTCGTCGCGTTCCACCACGCGACCCCGGCGGATCGCGCCTACTTCGATAACGGGACCTAGTCGCGCGTCGCGCGCGAAAAACTCGCGTCCCCCCTCAGCCCCACGAGTCGCCGCCGAGCTGGATCGTCGTGCGCGTGAGGTGGGCCTTGAGCTTCTTCGCGCGGTCCTTGGACTCGCAGAGCTCGGTGAGGCTGTCGGCGTTGATGCTGTTCTTCGCGGAGACGGCGCTGTGCATCGTCGTCTGGAAGTCCGTCTGCCACGCGTCCGTGAGGCCGAACTGCCACTGCGTGCCCGAGAGGGCCTGCTTGCGCTCGCGGTTGACCTGCTTCTGGTGCTCGAGGGACGCGCGGCCGGGCCCGGCCTCGGGCAGGTCGAAGTCGCTCGTGCGCCGGTTGTAGAAGCCGTCGCGGCTCCGGAGGTTCGGGTGCGCGCGGAGGCAGTCGATCTGGCCGCGCTGGAAGGCGACCTTCTTCTCCTTGCCCTCCTCGACGAGCTTCCGCCGCGCGCGCATCATGTCGACGGGGCTCCCGCAGGCCGTCGCGAGCGTCCGCTGGCGCCGCTTCTCGTCCGTCTCGAAGTCGGACCGGTCGTAGACGTTGCTCGGCCAGATCTGGTTGCTCGCGTACTTGAACTTGAGCACCATGGCCTTCGTGTCGAGGTGGCCGCCGGGGTTGTTCTTCCGCGCCTCCTGGAGCGAGCTGTAGAGCTTGTGGTCCTGCGCGTACTTGCCGCGCTCGCTGTCGGCCTCGTCGAAGCGGACGCCCGCGCCGCACTCCATGACGCGCCGCCGCTCCTTGCGCTCCTCGTCCTGCTTCGCGTACCTCGTCTTCGCGTCGCCGTCGGCCTGGTTGAGGCGGTAGGTGCGCAGCATGCCGCTGTTGAGCTCCGTGCCGGACTTGACGGCCGTCCGCCAGTCGGCCATGTCGTCCTTCGTGCCGAACTGCCACTGCGTGCCCGCGAGCTCCTGGCGCTTGACCTTGTTCTCCGCGCGCATGCGCGCGATGGCCCGCGGGCTCACGATCTTGTGGTCCAGGATCGCCTGGCCCGCGGCGCGCGCCGTCGACGTCAGCCGCGACACCATCTTCTCCGACGGCGACGCGTTCCCGTAGACGCTCTGGCGGAGCAGGAGGCCGTCGCCGGAGAAGCTCGACTTCATCGTGCTCCCGCTGCCGCCCGCGACGAAGTTCCCCGCCATGGTCGGGCCCGGGGGAGCGCGGAAGAGCGGAGGGCTGCCCTCCTACCCTCCCAGATTGCGTTGGACCGGGGCAAGGTCGGCCAGAGCCGAAATGGTGAACTCACTGGTGAACGCTGCCACTCCAGCGATGGAACCTTGCTAGAGCTTTGCGTCCACGAGTAGCGCACTCGCCGCAGCTAGCGCAATCAACTCTTAGAAAAAATGAACGTCGCCGCGTCGGCGGACGCGAGCGCGCCGTGCGGCGGCGGCGGCGGCGACGTGGAGGACCTCATGGAGCCCGGCGACGTCGTCGGCGTCGTCGACAGCGTGCGGTCCCTGGCGCCCTTCGCCGACGCCGGCGAGCGCGCGCTGCACTACGAGAACGAGAGCGTCGAGGACATCTACAAGCGCTGGGACGACCTCGTGAAGCCCGAGGACATGGACGGGTTCCAGCGCATGGTTTTGGGTTTGCTCGACGCGGGCGTGCCCGGGAGCGAGCGCGCGCTCGCGGCGGCGCTCGCGCCCCTGCGCAAAAAGTACAAGCTCGCGCCGCGCAAGGCGCAGCTGCTCCACGCCTACCGGAGCCTCCTGAGCACGGGGCACCTCGACAAGCGGTGCGTGCCGCTCGAGGAGGTGCTGACCACGAAAGCGTCCAAGTCGCAGAGCGGCGTTTTAGTAGTCACGGTGCTCACGTCGCCCTACCCGAGCGTCGCCGGCGGCAAGAAGCAGCGCTTCTCCTGCAAGTGGAACTGCTACTATTGCCCCAACGAGCCGGGCCAGCCGCGGAGCTACCTCCGCGACGAGCCGGCCGTGCTCCGCGCGAACCAGAACCAGTTCGACGCGGTCATGCAGTTCACGGAGCGCTGCGCGACGCTGGCGCAGAACGGCCACCCCGTGGACAAGGTCGAGCTCCTCGTGCTCGGCGGGACCTGGGCGTCGTACCCGCTCGAGTACCGCGAGGCCTTCTGCCGCGATTTGTACTACGCGGCGAACACGTTCTGGCAGCGGGCCGACAAGCGGCCGCGGCGGTCGTTGCTGGAGGAACAGACCTTGAACGAGTCCGCGGCCACCAAAATCATCGGGCTGACGCTGGAGACGCGGCCCGACACCATCGACGAGGACGAGATCCGGTTGCTGCGAAGCTACGGCTGCACGCGCGTGCAGCTCGGCGTCCAGCACGTCGACGCGGCCGTGCTCGACCGCGTGAACCGGGGCCACGGCCGCGCCGAGACGGCGACGGCCCTGCGGCTGTTGAAGGACGCGTGCTACAAGGTCGACATCCACCTCATGCCGAACCTGCCCGGCGCGACGCCCGCCGTCGACCTCGCGATGTTCGACGCCGTTTTGTACGACGAGGACCTCCAGGCGGACCAGTGGAAGATCTACCCCTGCGAGGTGACGCCCTGGACGGTCATCAAGAAGTGGTTCGACGAGGGCTCCTACGTGCCCTACGCCGAGGACGCGCTCGTGGAGCTATTGATGGACGTGAAGAGCCGCGTGCACCCGTGGATCCGCCTGAACCGCGTCGTCCGCGACATCCCCTCGAACTACATCCTGGGCGGCGTCGACGCGCCGAATCTTCGGGAAGACATCCTCGTGGCCATGCGCCGCCGGGGCCTGCGCTGCAAGTGCATCCGGTGCCGCGAGGTCGGCGACATCGGCGGCCTGAACCAGCTCGGCGAGAAGCACGGCGCGCGCGACGCGAACCGCGGGGGCGAGGGCCTCGCGGAGACCAAGGGCGCCAAGGGCCGCATGACCAAGTCCCAGCGGCGCGCGTCCCGCAAGGGCGGCGAGAAGGCGCGCGCGAAGAACCTGGGCCGGAGCCGCGCGAACCGCGACGGCGTGCTGGCGAGGAGGTCCGGCGAGAAGCTGGTCCGCGGCGCGGTGCTCACGCGGCGCTTCTACCGCGCGTCCGGCGGCGACGAGCACTTCCTGAGCTTCGAGACGCGCGACCAGCACACGATCTTCGGCTTCGTGCGCCTGCGCCTGCCGGACTCCAAGGCCGCGCCCGCGGCGGCCTTCGAGAGTCTGCGGGATTGCGCGCTCATCCGCGAGCTCCACGTCTACGGCCAGCTCGCGCCCGCGGCGACCAAGTCCACGCGCCTCGCGTCGCGCCTCTTCGACAGCCAGCAGCACCGCGGCTTCGGGCGGCGGCTCATGGAGGACGCGGAGGCCATCGCCGCGCACGCGGGCTTTCGCAAGATCGCCGTCATCGCCGGCATCGGCACGCGCGACTACTACCGGCGCATGGGCTACGTGCTCGTGCCGGACGGCGGCTACCTCATCAAGGACCTCGCGACGCCGCCCTTCTTCGCGAAGCTGGCCCTCGCCTACGCCGCCATCCTCGCCTTCGCGGTCGCGGTCGTGCTTTTCGGGGGCGACGCGGACGGCGCGACGCCCCTGCGCGGGCTCGTGCTCCGATAAACTGGAAATTTAGCTCGCCTCAAGTCCAAGTTTTTATGCAGACGGCTCATGGCATGTGTAGTTGAAGCGGCGTTTAACATATCCCGCCGGCGGGATATGTTAGCAGCTCCAGGGCGCGCGCGCTCAGCAGCAGGACCAGTACTTGTTCTGCCAGGGGTTGTTCCACCAGTCCTCGGAGTCGCGGTCGATGAACGCTGGGCGGACCCAGGGCGTCGGCGCCCACTCGCGGCGGCACAGCGCGGCGACGAGGCCGTCCTGGCCAAAGTAGACGCGCAGATTGCCGACGAGGCCCCGCGTGAAGGGCAGGTCGAAGTCCTCCGTGTTGTGGAGGTAGTCGAGCTTGTGCGCGCGGAGGAACTCGTTCGTCGTCATGTTCGTGAGCGCGAGGAAGGCGTGGAAGGCGAGGAAGCCCAGGGCGACGAGGAAGAGCACGCCCAGGGCCGCCGCGAGGAAGAAGGCGCGCTCGGAGCCGCTGAAGACGTCGGCCCACTTCACCGCGGCCTCGGCGATCGCCGCGAGGCGGCCGAGCGCGACGGTCTGCGCGAGGAGGAACGCGAGGAAGCGCGGCCGGTTCCGCTCGCCGATGGCGTTGCCGAAGAAGGGGCAATAGTGGTCGTAGGTGTAGACCCAGCGCCGCGCGGGGCGGCAGTAGGCCGCGCGCATCGGCGGCCACGCCGGCCAGGGCAGGAGCGTGCTGAACGCGTCCTCCGTCGCCGCCGCGAGCTTGATGCGCTCCGTCGCCGCCGCCGCCTCGCGCTTGCGCTGCGCGTAGTCGCCCTCGTCGGGGTCCGCGCGGTCCGGCGGGTTCGCGAAGCCCGGGTCGCTCCACTGGCAGAGCGCGTAGCAGCACGCGGCCGCGGCGACGCACGCGAGGGCCGTCGTGGATTCCGGGCCCGTCGCGTCGCCGTGGAGGGCCGTCCCCGCCGTGCCCCGGAGCAGCCAGAGGAACAGGACGTTCAGAGACGCGTAGACGGCCGCCGCCAGCGCCTTGGACCGCGTCGACAGGCGGAAGTGCATGGACTCGAGGTCCTCGGCGCCGCCGTAGCCGAGGCCGCGCATGCCGAGGTCCCGCTCCTCGCGCTCGTCGAGGTCGATGTCGTTGAGCTCGAGCCCGGGCGACTCGGCATCGCCCCCAGACGAGGAAGCGCGACGCATGCTTGGTTTGGGGCAGCTTCTTTGCGCAAGCCGGTTGAAGCCGCGCTTTCCCCCATACGCCCGAGTGCAGCAATACTCTTTTTTAAACCTGGGCGCCCTCGGCGAGGAACCTGCGGAGCGCGTCCGCGGCCTCCTCCGCCTCGTCGGCGTCGTCGTCGTCGTCGTCCGAGGACGCGGACGCGACGGGCGCCGGCTCCGCGTCGTCGTCGTCGTCGTCCGAGGACGCGGACGCGACGGGCGCCGGCTCCGCGTCGTCGTCGTCGTCGCCGCCCTCGGGCTCCGGGTGGTCGGCCTCGGCCTTGGCGAGCCAGGCGTCGAGGGTCGCGCGCTTGTCGAGGAGGAGGTCCAGGGTCACGTCGAAGTGCGACGCCTTGGTGCGCTTCGCGATGGCGGAGAGCGCGTCGACGAGCGCGGCGTCGTCGAGGAGCCGCGCGGTCGCGACGCCGCGGACGCTTCGCTCGGGGAAGGCCGCGGCCTCGGCGAGGAGGAAGTCCTCGGCGGCGGCGTCGATGGCGACGGTGAGGGGCGCGTGGTCGAAGGCGAACTGCTCCTCGAAGCGGCGCGCGTCCGCGCGGCGGACGGCGTCGCGGTCGTCGCGCTTCGCGGCGTCGAGGGCCGCCGCGAGCGTCCGCGCGGGGTCCGCGACCGTGGACGCGTCGCAGACCAGCTTCGTCGCGCCGGCGCAGGGGAGCTCGTACTTGAAGTCGCGGAACGTGCGCTCGAGCACCGTGACGAGGCCGCGCGCGCCCGTCTTCTCCTCGGCGGCCTCGGCGGCGACGGCGGCGATGGCGTCGCGCGTGACCTCGAGGTCGACGCCGTAGCCCGCGAAGTCGCGCTCGTACTGGCGGAGCACGGAGCCCTCGGACTGGAGCAGGATGAGCTCCAGGTCCCGCGCGCCGAGCGGGTCGACGGCGACGCGCACGGGGATGCGGCCGATGAACTCCGTCTCGAGGCCCGCGTCGACGAAGTCGCTCGACGTCGCCTTCTTGAGGAAGGACTTGGGCACGCCGTCGTCGGTGAGGCCGTCGTCGCCGCCCGCGGCCTCGAGGCCGAAGCCCATGCTCCGCTGCTCGTGCTTGCGCTTGAGCCGCTCGTCGAGGCCCGTGAACGCGCCCGAGAAGATGAAGAGGACGTGCTTCGTCGACACGCGCGCGGGCTGCGCGGGCTTGCCGCCGAGGAAGATCTCGGGGATCATGCCCGACTGCTTGTTCACGGAGATCTCGGTCTCCTCCATGACCTTGAGGAACGTGCTCTGCACGCCCCGCGCGCCGCCGCCGACGGTCGCGCCGCCCGCGCCCGTCGTCGACGTGCCGCCCTGCTCGCCGCGGCAGAGCTTGTCGACCTCGTCGACGTAGATGATGCCGTACTGCGCGAGCTCGACGTCGCCGTCGGCCTGCTCCACCAAGTTGCGCACGAGGTCCTCCGCGTCCTCGCCGACGATGCCCGTCTCCGTGAACTTCGTCGCGTCGGCCTTGACGAAGGGCACGCCCAGGAGCTTCGCGAGCGTCCGCATGATGTAGGTCTTGCCGGACCCCGACGGGCCGAGGAGCAGGATGTTCGGCTTGCTGTACTCCGCGGCGCGCTCGCTCGCGTCGCTCAGGCACCGGCGGACGACGTTGTAGTGGTCGCAGATCGCCACGCTCAGCACCTTCTTCGCGTCGTCCTGGCGCACGACGTAGCGGTCCAGGTGCTCGCGCACCTGCCGCGGCCGCAGGTCGAAGCGCGAGATGCGCTCGAGCGCCGCGGACCGCTTCTTCTCGGTGGTCTTCTTCTTGGCCTTGGACGCCACGGGCGGGATCATCATGAAGGGGCTCTCGTCGTCGTCCTCCTCCTCGTCATCATCCTCGTCGTCGTCGTCGTCGTCCTTCTCCTCGTCGTCGTCGGCGAAGACGAAGAGGCTCGGCGCGCCGTCGCCGTCGAGGCTCACGGCGCCGTTCAGCTTCTTCGCGCCGCGCCCGCTCGACGGCCGGGACCGCGAGATGGCCTCGATGATCTGCTGCTGGAGGAGCTCCGGCAGGCTTTCCATCGTGATGACCTCGTTGTCGTCGTCGTCGACCGCATCGTCGTCGTCTTCGTTCGCGTCGTCGGCGGCCGTTCTCAGGCCCGTCTTCAACCCCGGTGGTCGGATGAGCGACCGC